CGGCGCGGGGAGGCGGCGGGGGCGATTCCCACGCGGCGGGACCCCGGCCCTGCCCCTGCTTCGGGGGAGTCGGGGAGGCAGCTGTGAGACCAGGTGAGGAGCCTGCCTCTCTTCGGCCACCCGCCCCTTCCCCCGCATCTTTCATTGCAAACCTGCCTCTGTTTCTGGAGTTGCTCTTACGGTCGCTGCTGGGGAGGGCAGAGGGAGAGGGGCGTGGGAATTGTTCCCGTGGGCTTCGTTCCCTTCCTGGGTTTGTACTGCACACTGGAATCGGAGGCCCAAAAGAGCTGCTGCCTTTTCACCTTTGGGGTTATAGCTAGAAGCATCAAGGTCAGGCATTTCAGGAGACCTTGGTGGAGTTTCCTTAACAATCACTTGACACTCGAAAATATTGCAGCTTGGCTGGCATCTGAAAAGAATAGCGCTTTTCTGAATAAGGCTTTCCGGGCGAGAAGACCCCTGCAGACATAACTGCTGAGGAACGCAGCATTCAGCAGCAATGCTGGCGCTCTCTCTGATAACCTCTTCCTTTTCTTTCTCTCTTGTGGTGATTTTCTTTTGTATTGAGTAAACAAAAGAAAATAGGCCCTTATGTGACAGGAAGACCCTTGTAAGGGAACTGTTTTAAGAAGACATAGTTTTTATAAGTTTGGGAAATTACTTTTCAGGAGGGTCTGTTTTTTTTTTTTTCCTTTACAATTAGGGAGAAGAATCCAGTAGGAGCTTCATTCTCTGTGCCATGGCTAAGACCAGATTTTAGGGTACTAATTTGCTCTTATCTTTCCGTAGTCATTTTCCTATCTTCCCTTTTAATATTCTGTTAAAATATTAAAATAGGAATTGCTCTGAATCAGGCTATGATATAAAGATAGGGCAACATTGTACACTAAGTTAAAATGTTCCTTTGTTTAAAAAAAAAAAGTATTTGATAGACAAGGGTTGCTTTCTACCCTTTATGTTAGGGCTAAAAAAGAATCTGAGTTGGTGTCCTTATGAATTTGGTGAACTCAGACCCTGATCAGAGTTTAACTGATCAGAGTTTAACTCTGATTATAGCATTCTTGTTCCCAAATTAAAATTCCTTCAATAGTGTTATATGTGTGGCTTTTCTTAACTTTTTTCCTGAAGTATTCTTTTCTGCTGTCACTTCTATGAAGTTGTATCTTGGAACAAATATGCAGACGGTGTTTTTCTTTTTGCAGAAGTCCGTTCCCCACCCATGAACACTTCCACTTCCTGTATGATGTAGAGATTTTGTAATGTCTGTGACCAGCGCTTGTACTGCTTACACACAGGAAGTCTGGCCAGATGTATCTTCTGGCTTTTATGTGTGCAAAAGCATTTAAGGTACAGCCAAAGTATGCATGCTGTAAACTTTGGCTTCTTCTCCTTTTTTTTTTTTTTTTTAATCCTTTTATTTTCATTTCACATTTAGCTCCATTTAAAAAAAAAAAAAAACCCTAAAACGCCCTTCACAATTCCCTCTGCTGTTTTGTACTGATCCTAGAAAATGAAAAGTTCCTAATTGTTTTTCTTAATTACTTTCCAGTAATTTTGCATACTAGTTCCAAAGTAATTAAAGGTCAAGTGGTGAATGCAGTAGGAAATTACAAAATAAAATCAAAGCCTTACCATTTCTACTGGTATGTCAGGAAAAATTATTTGAGATTTTGCTTTTATGACATTTGGTCAAAAATGAGCTTTAATACTTTGTCCAAAACTTAAAGTTTTTCTTTACAGTTCTTATCTTGCATCTTTGGCTAGTTTGAAAATCCTTGTGAGCTGTGGTCATACATCTTGTGTGCCTTCCGTTTCATTAGTCCTTTCTGATGTAGACAGCAGTAAGATGCAGTGCAGGTGTATAGGAAACCTAATAAAGGCACTTTCTTGCACGTGGTGGGCAAAAAGCATGTGCCTATGACATGGAACAGTAGTGAAACGATCTGTGTCATGTTATGTTGTCCCTATGGAATAATATAGGTCCACATTCCTCCCTGTATTCACAGTTTAACAATTGATTTTAAAATTATAAGTACTACTTAGTAAGGGTAACCATGAAGCAGATGTGTATTCTTAATGGATAACACCCTGAGTGGGTCTGGGTGGTTTTCTAGTCTTGTGTTTACAAAGACACTTAGCAACAGAAATGGACAGCATCTTTATGCTTCTCAGAAAGCTATCAGGATTCTGTGGGCCCCCTTTTAAATTTATAGCCCAGTTAGCAAACGTCCTTTTGGACACAACCCATACAATCTTAGAAGAATGTAGATCTATCAGCTCCATTTAATCCTTTCAAAGTGCAGTGTGAAAGGACAAGTGAGACCCAGCTATAAGCATATTCAAGCCTTGGAGGCCAACAGGAGCTGTACCTGTTAATCGCAGCTCTTTTGAGTGCAGACAGTTTTTTTGAGAACTTTCAGGAGCAAGATGTCTTGTACTCCTTCATCGTTTTTATCATGTCTGTTGGCTATCTGAACAAGATATCATGAGATTTATTATAATGCCTGCATCAGACAGAAGAATTGCCTTTTGGAGACTTCTGAGGTCTATTTTAATTTGCGTAACACGACTGGGCATACGCTGGGTGGAATCTCTGTTTTGAAAGAAATACAGAAATTTCCTGTTGTCTGAGTGGTGGGAAATAACTGTCTAAGGGATACACTGGCTTGCTTTTCTCTGGAGTGGTTTGCCCACAGTAACGGAAGTTGGTCCTTCTTGGTTTCTCATTGCAACTGTGTCGCTATCTGTAAAAGAGAGAAAATTGTCTTCATCATAAGCATTCTGCACGGATTGGTGAATGTGTTCACAGGACCTTAAGGATAAGATGTGCCTATTAACATCAAAGGCACTTTCAGTTTACTTAAAAGTAGTGGAGTAGATGTGTAGTAATCTCTCCAATGTCAGGAATGTTAATTGTGCTTGGTCTTGCTTTTCTTATTTAACTGGTAAGGGTATTGTTTGGAAAATTAGTGCTTCTTGCTCGGTCCCCTTTTTCCACTCTTTATTCCCAGGATATGTTTCTGAAAATATGCGCAGACAGCGGCAGCTTTGAGACTTCTTTTTGGAAGCATATCAAGATGTCAAATGCATCAGTTTTGTCTGCTATCAGAAAAGAGACGTAGCTTTGTCTAAGCAATGTTTTATGTCAAGAAAGTGAATTATAAATCTAAAATCAGTTTTCCTTTCCCCTTCCAGCTCCCCTTTAAATGAGAATATAACTTTCATAAATGCGTAACTGATACTGTGTATCAAGGGTACTGGGCACAGTCCTACAGATGTGTGGGCGCAGCCCAGGTAGCTGTGACAGCCACTTGCTCTTTGATGGGTTACGTCCTGAAAGTCACCTAGGCTGAGAAAAATATGTTTTGCAGCACTGCTTGGATCTTTCGAGATTGGACTTTAGATTCCCAGAGCTCTTTGGGTTCTTGATATCATTGTCTTCAGGAGAGGTAAGAATTTCTTATGTTTGCCTCGGGAGAGTTGTCAGATAGATGGCTGTTAATCCTGTTTTAACCAGGGGGATTTCAGGAAAGGAAAGTGTGAACACTGGCAATTAATCCTTTCCTTTCATTGTTTATAGTATGTACGGATGCACATTTTCCTTAGCTATGACATGCTGATGAGAAGGTCTACTCCAGCATTTCCTGAACATTCAAAATAAGAATTTGAAGTAGAAGTGGAAGGCAGGACTGATATCTAAAGAGTCTTGGAGACTTTGACTATGTTTTCTCTTTACCCTATTAGGATTACCTCTGGGGACTGTTTTGCTCATTTTGCTTCCTTTTTGTAGATCTAGAGCTGAGACTTAATATTTGGACTGTGTTCCCTCAACCCTTAGAGTCTTGTAATTTAGGCTTCTGACAACTGCCACTGTAATGAGGTGTTTGACTCCGCCTTTATTTATTGTACTTGATCTGTCAAGGTTTCTATTACATTGATAATGTCTATGTGGAATTGTTGCCTTGCCTGGGGTTGCACAGGGCAGATTATCCAGAGCATTAAGTACGATATTTCTCCATTGCCAAGACTAACTCATATCAAATGATATTTGCTAGTGACGTGCTTATTAGACTACATCATGCCCATCAGAGGGCATTTGTTTAATTGTCATGTCTAGATACTTAGGCCTTCAAGTAGGAGTGACCAACTTAAGGTTCTTGACTTCCATGTGGCTCTTTTTCATGTGTCATTTGCACCTGGAATTGTGTCCTATGGCTGGGTTTATGCTGGCACAGGGATAGCTAGAAAGCCTGAATTGCCCACTGAGTTGCTGGTCTCATATCTAGTCCTGTCTGCCTATCTAGTCCAACTAGGTGATATCTCGCAACGGAGCAGTAAACCTCTATGGAGCTGTTACCCCCTCTTCCCTGGGAACTTCTGGAGCGCCCATCTCCCATGGCTCTCTGAGGTATTCAGGTGTCTGGTAGCTCTCAGCCATACACAGATTGTGATATTTGAGGTTTAACGTTAGGTAGTTTTGTTTTCCTTGACTTAGGGAAAAATTTTTCACATCTGTCCAGCAGTTATGCCCATAAATAACTTAGGTGTTCTTGGAAATGTTAACATGGGAAATTAACTTCTTGACTACTTACTCCATGTCTCTTTGAAATTTCTCTTTAATTTCAGGGTAAGTGTCTTTAGGGCTGTTGAAATCAAACTTAATTGCACTGTCTTTGGAGCTGAAAGCGTGTCTCTTTCTGAGATATCTTTTCTCAGCTGTATTCTGCATGCATCTGTACAGCTGTGGCTAATGCTTGAGGCTTGGTGTTCTGTGCTGTGCAGTCAGAAGATGGGAAAGATACTGTTGGGGGTGTGGTGCAAGCACGCAGTAGCCTTAGGAGAACTGGGAGGAAAGAATTTCTATTGAGTAGTTGAGTCCTTCACTTTTTATGGCATATCGGAAAGGGCCTTGTCAAGGCTGGTCTTTCATTTGGTCACCAGGCATCCGGTGACTTACTGCAAGGAGGGGTGCACCATTCTGCAGAAAAAAAGCACAGAGAGAGTTCACTACAGAATATTAGCTCTTATGTTTGACCCTTTAATTTCCAGGGGGAAAAATGAAATGGTTCTAACTTCACTTGGGGGCTCGCCATGGACGACTCAGAAGGACATCACTTCAGCTCAGTGGAAGAGGAATCTAGATACTGGAAAGAGCTGGCTATGAAGTATAAGCAGTGGTAAGGCAATGACTTCGTTCCTTTAAGTTGTTCAATAGGATGTGTGCCCGCTACGTGCAAAGACATAGATAGCACCACATGGGGAGATAAACTCCAGATAGCTGAGCTATCTTGAGCGGTAGCAGTAGCAATGCAGCGGCACTGGCTTCTGCGTAAACTACGCCAGCCCAGAGTTCTTTGTGCTTTTTGAGCAGTGAATCTTGCTGCTGTGGCACTGCTGCTTTTGATCCCTGCTCTGGTTTGAGTCAGACTGTGTTTGTGCTGAAACTATACTTTTGACTGCAATTGTTGGATGGCCTGGGGAAATGTAAATGTAACACATTGCAGAACCTTGCTGGGGGTGGATAACCCAGGCCATCACAACAGAGAGATGCTACTGTTTACCCTTGATATATCCATGTGGATCAAGGATGGTTTGGCAGCACCTAGATGGGCAAAGAGCCCTGGCTGAGACAGAGCAGGCTTTGCTCTTTCTGTTAGTTCAGTATGTCACTCTAAAGGCAGTAGAGCCTGAAAAATTCCAAACTCCTCCGGTGCTGATATTGGTGGATCCTTTCTTAGACGAGGTGTTCAGACCCTTCAGGGCTGCTTGTTCAGATTGTTGTAGGATTTTTTTTTAATGCAATTACTTGATTAGAAAATAAGAACAGGCTTTCCTTTCCTTCTTTTTCCTCTTTTTTTCCTTTATTTTATTGCTCATGGAAAATGTCTTCATTCGTATTTCCCAAAGAATAATTAAATAGTTTAATAGATTAAATATGTAGATGGAGGGTAGACTGTGTACAGGCTTAAGAGGCTCCATACGGCCTGGGCACTGTTAGCGTAAAGACAGACTTTGAGGGGAGGAGCTGGGGGGAGGTTGTTTAACAATTTGTTATGGGATGGGTTTCTGTGTTTAAAGGGGAAGCATTTGCAGACAGTCCTCTTTTCCTTTTGAATATATATGTTGGGAGAGAAGGGTAGAGAGTCTTTTATGTTAAAGAGCAGTACATATAGATAAATGTATTTATTTATTTCTCAAGTATACAAGAGAGAGTGTCTTGGTTCATTGTGATAAGTTCTGTTGTTGGAATTGCTCTTTAGTGCTGAAAATACACAGGAGGAAATGCGTGAGTTCCAGGAAGGGAGTCGAGAGTATGAAGCTGAACTGGAGACTCAGCTGCAACAGACAGAGTCCAGAAACAGAGACCTTCTGTCAGAAAACAATCGTCTGCGAATGGAACTGGAGTCAGTTAAGGTAAGAAAGGATGATGCATACAGTGCCCGCATCCTTAGAGTGAAGGTGAGTGAGATTCAACTTGCGTTGTGGACATTGTGGACGGGGAGCTTCAGCATTACAAAGAAATTGAACCGCAAACTGAGAAGTTATGAAAAATAAAGAAATGTTTGTCTGTTGTCCACTGTGGAAGTGATTAAAAACCTCAGTTAATGTTACTGAACCCCTGTTTGCAGGTTGTGGCTGCATTTCAGGATGAGTTTGAGACAGGAGAAAATTGTTGTCAGTAGAGAGGAGACTAAACATGAACCTACCAGTGCTGCTGTTCTGTTCCTTCTTCCATCTACTTGGTGCTTTTTGTTTGTGGCTTTCTTATTGTTTGCATTGTGCAGACCCAGATAATTATGTGGACATTCAAAATGCAACAACACAGCTGGAATGTTTGAATTACACAAAAAAGATTAGTTGTTTTAAACCCTTTTTACATAGTTATGTGTAATTATTATCTAGTACATTCCAGAAAACCTAGGAAGCAGCTAGGTTGGTGTCTGTGGAAGCAGAGATGAATTGAATTACGTTTCTACTCAACTGGATGCAATAGTGAGCTAATGGGAGTGAAGATGTATAAGTGATTAACCCAGGTTTACCTTTTTTTTTTTTTTTGTCTAAGTAGTTATATTTGACTGTCCAGATAACTGTCCTAAGGAATTACTCTTCAGTTCGAGACAGATGTCCTGTTTCCCCCCACTTCCCTCTGCCCCCCAACTTGGTGATTTATTTATTTATTTTTCATGTTGATAGCAACAACTTTGCACCTTGCTTCATTGTATTTATTACTTTTGGCATTCTTGTTGTGTCAACCCCTTTGCAGTGTTAATGTTCTGCATGTTGTGTGGAGTAGTTGTCTGCTCTGTTCCATGTAGCTGCATATACCTGTGGAAGCTAATGGGTTTGGGGAGAAGCCATAATGGTTCAACAAAAATGAAACCTGCAGTCCATTTACATAAGGAGAGAGTGGACTGTTTTCTTTCTCAAGAAGAGCTGAAATGGGAGGAGTGGACCTTAATGCAACAGTTGGGAATGAAATAGGATCAACATAAAACTTCAGAAAGGGGAGAATAAACATACTTTTAAAACCTTAATTATTTTTCACAGTAGATGACTTTATAAAAACATAGTCTGCTTGAAATGAGCCCTGTAACAATTGGTTATTCATGCAGCCTGAAAACTGCAGTAACAGCCTGCAGTAAAGAAACAGAGACTCCATTGATGGTGAGATCAGCTGACAGTTTATTACAATTGGCTAAAAACAGAGACACAAACCTTGCAGTTCTGGTCTTTTATCTGAATCAATTCAAGAGCAAAACATTAAACTCATGAAGCTATTGAGCAGCAGCGTTAACTGAGCCCATCAAGGGCTGGTGTCTACATCTAGGTCAACATTACTAAAGTTTGCCAGGCCCACACAGCTTGTTGCTTTGAGCTCAACAGCCTGTTGTGTATGCTTGCTCCCTTGGAAACCACAGAGTTCATACTACTTAGGAATAAATGGAAATAATGCTTTGGAGGGCTTGTTTAGTGAGTCTTGAAAAGCTAGCTGAAAGTATTTCTCCTCTTAGAGCTCAGGGGCTCTTAAATTCTGCATGCACCTATGCTTCAGAGAGGAGGAGTTATGGCAATGTGTCACCATCCTGTAATCAAGTAGGAATTTCTTAGTTCAGAATGGGTATCTTTCTCCCCCCGCACCCCGACTCCACATCACATGCTGTGAAACAGCTCTCTAAATTGTTAGTCATGCTAGACCGCACACCCTGGTTTTCAAATTCCTGTGTGTGGATTTGTTTTCAGTGACTTCAAGTGTGTTGTACTCGCAGGCTGGACTGAGAAGCACTTCAGGAATGCTAGTTATACAGCAGTCTGGGAGCTTCAAAAAAAGTCTCCGGCATGTTGAAGTGATCAGATACCAAGGTGGTGGGGATAAAGTGTTGCAGCAGATGATGTGCTGTGAGGCTTTTCATGTGATGTAGAGCTAGCTGCATATGGAGGTGGTAGAAGGAGGGAGAGGATGTTGGATGGAGAAGCTAAGCCTTCTTTCCCCTAGTGCCTCTCCCAGATATACCCTTGTGTATGTACCCTAAAGGGAGATGGACCCTAAATGGGAGTGTCCCAATCATGTTACATAATTACACCTACAACATTTTAGGATCTAGAGCTCTGAACCTACTTTGGGCTAATAAAACCACAAGGCAGTGAAGAATTATGCAGGTTCCCCAGGGGTATGTAACAGGCTCTGGCATGTTGAGACATTTTTGTTGTTGTCATTTGGGCTCCTAAGTACTACTTGACTTTCTCTTGTAGTTGAAAGTAAGTGGCTTCTTTCACATCCTGCTTTGTGCATTGCTGGAGTCCTTCGGGTTCAAAAATTGCACTGAATCTTGCTCAGGAACGCACACAGATTCACTTTGCCCCAGGAAACGAGTAGATATTCTTCCTATTACAGAAGTGGGTCATGACGGGGGGTGGCAGACTTACAGCCTTTGGCAGGCAACCCCATTGTAGCGTACTTGCCTGGTGAGTCCTCTAAATTCTCTCCGTGGCACTGCTGGGTGTTTTTTGTAAAATGGGATTCTGGTTGTTGAGCCCTTGCACTGTGAGTGTCATCTGTACCTTACAGCAGCAGGGTAGGATTTACCCATCCACTCGCATCCTTTTTTTTCCTTTCCACCCAGGTTGCGTGGTATGGTGCGGTGCGGGAGCTCTAGAGTCCTGTGCCTGTTGCATGCTGAGCCACCTACTTGTGCTGGATAGGACTTGGGCATGCTCTTTTTTCATTTTGCCTTTGACAGAGGAATTGCACATGTGAGCAAACCAGCAGCTGCTGTTTAAGCCTTTCCCCTGGAGAAAGGCTGAAAGCTCTCTGCATGCAGCAGGATGTGCTTCTTGTGCCTTGGCGAGCAGAGGAAAGATGAGAGAGCGCAAGGGAGAACTGTCTGGAAGAGCAGGGAACGGCCCTGTGCTGTGGAGGTTGGGAGCTGCGCATATCCTTATCTAATGATAAGGAGTGACAGAAAGAACTTGCCTCCTGGCAGCCCAAATGGAAATATGGGAACAACTGGCTTTGTTGAGAAACATCACCTTATAAATAGCAAAATGTTAAAAATCTCAGAGGATCCGCCTCTCCCTTTAAGGGGGCTGAGTCAGTGCCAAAGAAAGGAGGGAATGTGCATTGCTAAGTCCCTGATACACTGTTTGATTTGCCTTTGGTTAGGAAAAGATTGAAATGCAGCATTCAGAAGGGTACAGGCAAATCTCTGCGCTGGAAGATGACCTGGCACAGACAAAAGCTATTAAAGATCAACTTCAGAAATATATTCGAGAACTTGAGCAAGCCAACGATGACTTGGAAAGAGCAAAAAGGTGACCCATCTTCTATGTTTTCTTCTTTCCAGCTCTGTCCTGTCTTGTGAGCATGGTGGCCCTGAGCTGTTTGTGGTGTGGCGCTCGTTAGCACTGCCATTCTGAGCTAACCACTCTAGGTGATGATTTTGATGATGACCTTTGCGGCAGATGGGAAATGTGACCACGTTTGGGAAATGTGACTCACTCCTCCCCCGCTACCTTCACCCACATTTCATATCTTACAAGTGAAAATAGACCCCGCTTTCTCTTGCGGGACAGGGGGTTCCTGTATGTGCCTGAAGGATCTGGTAGTGACCTCTTGTGCACTCTCTTTCAGAGCCACGATAATGTCTTTGGAGGATTTTGAACAGCGTTTAAACCAAGCTATTGAAAGAAATGCTTTTCTGGAGAGTGAACTGGATGAGAAGGAGAACCTTCTGGAGTCTGTGCAGCGCCTGAAAGATGAAGCTAGAGGTTACGTAGTGGATTACTCATCTCTCTCACTTTCTCTCCTTCCAACTTGTAGCTGTACAGTCCTCCCAATGTATTTTAGAGCTTGGCTTTTAAGTTTTCCTCTTCTCAACCTGCCACCTGAAATGTAGAAGCAAATGAGGAAACTTCAGGACTGTCCATCCCACTCCCTTCTGACCTCGTTCCAGAGCAGCTCACAGGAGCAAAAGTCTGCGAGCCTTCTGATCTGTGGTGATGCTTCAGGGCCTTATGTGATCAAGAAGAGCCAGCCAAGCTGGTGCATGTGGCTAGTGTAACTTCTTGTAACCTGCCAAGAACAGTGTTAATAACCATTAACCTCTGTTTCCTGGCCTGTGAGAAAGTCAATGAGACACCAATGAGACAGTGAAATGGGAGGACCATGACTGATTTCCAGTTGCTTCTGAATAGCTTCCCATGCTACCTTCCTGATACCTGTTGGTAAGACTGGGTGAGAAGAAGAGAGCCATGTAACTATGGAACTGTAAAAACCTATTTTTGGCTCTGCTCAGACTCTGTGCCCTTGGGCAGTTTCCCTAAGCTACAGCCAGGCTGTGGAACACGAGTGCTCCATCCCTTGGTTACATAATGGCACAGCTTCCTCCTGGCCTCAGCTCACATTTCCTTTGTGTGGAAACCAGTGTGAAAGGGAAAAGGGTGCAACAGATAGAATTGCCCGGATGTCAACCTGGCAGGGAACTGGGACATGTGCCAAGTTGCAAAAACTCTTGTCTTGATGTACCTCTGCACAGTCTGTAGCATTTGGCAGGAAGGTAATTCCTTGCCTCAAAAGAAACCTTTTGAAAGGATACAAAGCTTACAGCCAGATTAGATAGTAGTAGCCAGATTAGATAGTAGTAGCCAGATTAGATAGTAGTAGCCAGATAGATAGTAATGGCAGTAATTAATACTGCAAAAACATCTTGTGCCAAAGTCCCAGCAAAGCCTTGAGTAATCACCTAGGTTTTGAGCATATGCCTGGAGTAATCTCTAGAAAGATAAATGACTTTATTCCCCTTGTTGAGATGAAGTAATCTTTTGAGTAAAACAGACTTTCTCATGTGTGTTCATCTTGGTGATTACATATACCAAAGGCTTTGTTTCTGTTGCTTCTCTCATAGATCTACGACAAGAGCTTGCGGTGCAGAAGAAACAGGAGAAACCCAAAACACCGATGCGAACCACCCTGGAAACAGAAAGGACAGACACTGCGGTGCAAGCGTCTTTATCTGTGCCTTCAACCCCTTCAGTACACCGGGCACCCAACATGAACTTATCCACCCCTGGGACATTTAGGAGAGGTGATTGCCTGGGGACCAACATAAACATGATATTTGATAACGCTTGTTTTTACCACGCTTTCCAGCTGCAGGAAGAGTGAGAAAAAGGGAATTGAGATGAATGTTTCAATCACCATGGTCTTGGTATTCACAGACTGTGATTTTGGGGATTTATTTGCAGGCCCTTCATTTCCACTGGGGTGAACTGTCTAGTAATAATAATTGTGAGGGGCAAGATGAGCTGTTGAGATTTTTAATATCAGTTCACAACTATCCCAGAGACATTGGACTAATTTAGGAGAAGAGTTTTTAAAACTTCAGGCCACACTTGAGGCCACGCTTCTGTTATGGATTGGCTTCTCAGTGGAGTAGGTAGTCTTTGAGAGAGGCTTTTTTTTTTTTTTTTTTCTTTTTTTAAAACTCTGAAACAGCAGGATAAGTCATTCTAGCTGCCTATATTAAATTACTTTCTTTCTGCTTTCATGCCAATAGTATCAGTTACTTACCTTTTTATGATTATGGATTACTTAAACATTCCACACCTCCAACACTAGCTCTCCATCTTCTCCTTTACCTGAAAAGCCAGAAATTTGACTCTAGAAAGATGAGTAACTATGCCCATGTGTATGGGGAGGGTAAATGCGGAGAGTTTCTTGTACTGTCATGCACTGATGATTTGATATTACAGCTCTAGTTACTAACAAAGTCTGATTTTGGGCTTAGGTACTCTCAGCCTAAAATTATATTTCACTTAATCATGCTTCTATAGAAGAGAGAGGATTCAGAAATTCTGGAAAAATAGGTGATGAGGGTCTTTTCTCAAAACACATCTCTGTGGTCTCACTGCAGTAAAAGAGAAGCAGGGTGGGCTGCTAGCACACATCTCTAAAAAACCTAAGCCACAGCATATCTGGAGACTTCAGCTGAGGACAGTGTAACTTGAACTGTATCAGCGAGGCAGAGCTTCGTACTCTTAATGGACATGGAAGATCTGAAGGTCAGATGGAAAAAGATGAAGATACTGATGTTTCCTCTGCTCCATATGTTAGGCTCTCTTCTGACCTCCAGTGTCAAAGTTTTTTTCACAGTGGGTAATGTGTCATTCTTTAACCTGTCCTGCAGGTTTTGAGGACAGTTGCAGTGCAACCCCTCTCACACCTGCTGCCAGAATATCTGCACTTAACATCGTGGGAGACTTGCTGCGGAAAGTGGGGGTGAGTGATTAGCTGTTAGCCAGCGCCCTGGGAAAGGTAGAGCTGTCTGAGAGAGCAGCCAGAGCGGACCTTCTGCCCTGTTGCCTAAGGGAGACCAGAAAGTGTAGCTCAGCCCCAATGTTGGCCAAACAGGGCCTTGAAATTTGGCCTGGGCTTTGTATTTCTGACTACCCCCAAATAAAGATGAGGTCAAGGTTTTTGTTTTGAGATCTTAACCACATGCAGAGTCCTGGCCTTTCTTCCTCTCCAAGTCCCTGAAAAAGCATGTGAAGGAAGAACAGACTGATGAGAATAAACGAGAAGGGAACCTGCTCCCATGGAGAACATTGATGTGCTCTTGTGAAGGGCAGAGAAGAAAGTGGGTGCCCAGGAGGGTTCTGATGGAGTCTGCCCAGTAGTGTTTTGAGCAGGGCCTAACGCCATGTTAGGCTGTAGCTTGACATTTAACGCAGTGCTGCTGAAAACATTACCCATATCTTCTTTCTGTCTTCTCCCCCATGCCCCAGCGCTTTTTTTGGCCCAAGCATTTGTATATCTTTTTGATGGGCTGAACTGCAGAGCTGGTACAGCTGAAAGATAAGCCAGCATCAAAGATGGAGTGATCTAGGGTGGGAACATATGGTAGAGAACAGGGCATCTGTGGCTCAGTTTCCTCAGACATACTACCTAATACCTACAACCTAATATGCCTCTGGCCAGGGAAGCAGAGAGCTCAAATGAACATTCAGTTATCTAAAAAGTGATGCCTGTAAGAAGGGTGTCAAAATCTCCCTGAGGAAGCTGAGGCATTTGTGTTGTTTCTGCTGATGAACATCAGCATCAACTCCTTAATCTCCCCTACCGGAACAGATTCAGCTTCAGTGGGACACTTGAGATGACTAGCTTCATCCCCTCAAAAATTCAGAACTTGTGAATTCTGAATTGGGGTCAGGAGCCAGCAAGGTTCCTCTACTGGACAGCTTGTCTTAAAAACAAACAAAAAGCCAATGCCATAGATGCTGTTTTGGTGTCTTGTGAAGGAGAAAGATGCTGTCTAACGCTTACTTCATCTGTGTTTGCTTTAGGCTTTGGAGTCCAAACTTGCATCTTGCAGAAACTTTGTGTATGACCAGTCCCCAAACAGAACCATGGTGTCCATGTATATGAACAGAGATGTCCTTGAAACACGCCTGAGTCCTCACCAGCCTCTGTGTGATACAGGGTTAGTGCTGATCTGCTGTTGCTTCTTAGCGAGAACTCTGTGGCTGGTACTGTTCCATTTAGTATTAAATCTTAATTTCAGTAAAGTTTTGTTTTGAAAAGGTCTGAAATGTAGTTATTCAAGATTCTATTTTTATGTTTCATATTAGTTTAAAATTTGAAATCACTAGCTGGTAAAATTCAAAGATGGGCTGGGAGCAAGTTTTGCAAAATGCAAACTCAAAGCAAGTATAATACATTTATTTTATTATAAAGCCAGTGTTTATATGGGAAAAAGTGCAACAGAGTGAGCTGCTGTTCATTGGCTCAGTTTGTTTTATGCTTTATATTCTTGTGCAAGTGATGTCTCGGGAACGTGTGGGGCATGTGGGGACTTCCCTTATCACAGTTTAGATTCTTGTTTATGGGAGAACTGAAGAAAGCAAACAGAATCGGTCCAATCTGAATGTCTTACAGTTGTTAAGATGCTTTCCCAGAGAGCAGATGACCAAAGAAATTACCTGATTCAACTTGCAAATTTTTCTGGACGCTTGAATTGGTTATCTTTTAACAAAAGAAGAAATATCAGCAAAGATATTACAAGTTGCAATTCGATGTCTGCTTAAATATGCCCGTCTTTAGATTCTCTGTAAATTAGGCACCTACAGTAGAGTTCATTCCACATTGAATTATTCAGCCAGACCCTTGCTCCTGCGATACTGGTTTGTGCTGTTACCTCAGCATCCAGAGTTGTCCTGTGGAAGGAGTGCTCCATCTTGTACTTGCCTTATTCTAGCCTGGGGAGGAACCTCGTGAAAGCTCCTACATGAAAGTTTCCAGGACCATGCGTTTGCACGTTCTCACAGCTGATTAGCACTTCTACTGCTGTAATGCTAGAACTGAAATTCCAACCCCTGTTTTAAAAAAAAAAAAAAATACACTTCTCACTACTCAGAGGAAAAAAGAGCTCTGTTTTACAGTGGAAACTCAACCCAGTTAAGTAACAGGCTCACTTAGCGTTCAAAGTGGTATTCTTTTATCTGTTGATTTCTCATTGTGAGTGGTATTTTTGGAAGTGACCAGTTACTCTGATAAAGATGGTAAAACTGAACAGCAAATGCACTAATTGCTCTGTTTTGTATTTGCAGGTTAGTGAAACGCCTAGAGTTTGGAACACGGCCTTCGAATATTTCAGGGCCTATGGGCCATCCCTCACAAGGTGTTGTCAAGATGCTGCTCTGAAAAGATTGGCTGGCTTCGGAAAAGGGGAAAAAAAACTATATAAAAAAATATTTTTTTTTTTTTTTAAACGTTAGTTTTAAAGAGAACGCTAATGGGCAACGAGGCATCAGCCTAAGGGTAGGTAAGAACTGAACAAGAAGCTGCAGTTGGCAGTGGCCTCCTGTGGTCTTGCCCAGCGTGGCCTCTCAGCTGAGCTGTGTGACTAGTGTGAAGAAGCAGCGCTGCCTGCCAGCACATTACTTCAAATTGCTTCCTACATCAGTTGCTGTAAATAGCACCTTGAAAGTTGCTTCTTTCACGCTGTCAAAGCCAGTGCCCCTCTACCTATGGTAGAGGCAGTATTCCTTGTGCAGCTCCTCAGGCTTTTGCTTTTGGTTTTAATACAGCACCGTAGTGTTCTAGCATGAATTCTAGTTGTGCTGGCTTTCTGGCTTGAGTGTTGTGTGCCTCAGTCACCGAGATTAGAGGAGTTTTTTTAGATGAAGCCTGACATATTTCTGTGGGGAAGCTGCTCAGCTCTTTGCAGGATGTTTGTTGTCAGAATCCTGCAGCAAAGATGCCTACCTTCATAGCGTTAAGATGGTTTTGTAAGCAATGATTTGCTGTTAAGAATAGGTCACAGTTAAAGGTGAGGAATGTCTAATGCTTGGAGTACTTGGGAGATTCCAGGAATACAGCAGAGTAGGAGACTGTGCACTGGCTTAGCATACAGACACATTTCCTGCCATTTTGCAGCATATAAAGTCTGGCTGCTGTAGGAAGCAAGAGACCTGATTAATTTGCTAGTTCTAACATCTTAATAGGTGGGTGTTATTGCTTTCCAAGCCTCCCTTTGTTAATGTGTCTTGGTTGTTTGAGAGGCTTTTTAGTTATATTTTTGTTGTTTTTTCTGTAAGAATATGTACTTTCAGTTGTTACTAATTTAGAAATGGCTTTTTAACCTGAAAAGTCCTTTCTGCTGACTAAGGGTGTCAGAATATTGAATTCTTTTAAAATTAGAGTTCTTCCCTACCAAACAGTACTGCATTTTCCCCCCCTTTATCTTCTGTAAATGGAGTGGGTTCACTCCAGTATTAATATATATTACAGAAGCTGATACTTGCAATAATCATGGCCAAATGTTTTTTTTTATTTTGAGAAGGAGTTTTCACAACAGAAGAATGCATAAATAGGTTTGTTTTTTTTTGTTTTGTTTTGTTTTTAAGAAAATGCTGTGAAAACAGCCACTGATGTATCTATTCCTCTGGAAGAGGAAATAACCACAGATCATTCCCATTCTTCATGCCATCTACAAAGTTGGCTTACCTGGGAAGGAGAATAAAGCTTATTTTCAATGCAGGTTGTTGATTCATTTTGAATTTGTTTTTTGAAAGTTGTCATTATGGTTTATGCACAGATGTTTGTCACCAGCATCTCAGCTGTTCTACATCTCTTTCTTGCTCTCATGGTTTCCTACCCTGAGGAATGTAAATACTGCCATAGCTAAAGATGCCTTTGGGATTTATGTACTGCCTAGCGTTGGCATTATGCTTTCTTAAAATCTTGAACTCTGGCTCAGGATGCTGTAATTTGTTTTAACATGACTTTATCCTCCCCTCTCACATAGGGAATTGACACTTTTCTTATCCATGAGGAACTGAAGCGCACGGGCTGCTTTCTCATTTGTGCTGACACATGGACTCCAATTCAGTGCACTCTGTAGCCTGGAGGATTGCTCATCCTGAGTTGCATTTTCCTTATAATATTGCCAGAATTTGCCTGCTTGGTGTGAAAGCCAGCTTGCAGCAAGATTGAGAGTCAGCACTGAGATAAGGTAGAGAGTTGGGGGTCGTGCTAGAGCCCCAGTTTTCAATTTAAAGTGACTACTACAGAGATTAGATATACTATTAATACATTATAGAGATATATTATTAATGTGACTACAGATATATCCAGATGGACTATGGGCTGATATGCCATTGAGAATTTTCAAAATGATTTAGTCCAGAATAATCACCTCTGTAGCAGGACATCTTTTGGGAGAGGAACTTTGGCTTGGCTACTACTGCAGAAAGATGCTTTCCGTAGTAGTTCTACTAAAGAAGCTCTCTCAGACTCCTTATTCTGTCACAAGCTTTGCAGAACAGGGACTGGAGTCTGAGTTTCTCAAGTGCTGGGACGCTGCTGTAACTATTGGACCAATCTCTGCCTCTATGTGTGTGCATGTGAATTTTTCAGATGCGGTCATGTTGGAAGGGCTCCATGTTCAGCTTGCTGGTTCTACTGCAAGCCTTGGTATTTAAGACCATTCTGTTTGAAGTCTGACTTCCTCCATCTCATTTCCACACATGCAGGCTCACCAGCTGTGTGTTTAACAGCCAGCTCTTGAGCACGTTGACAGAGCTGGGCTGTGTGGCTGATGAAGCAATGAACTCAACCAAGCGTGCTCTTCTGATAACTCCTAACGTGCCACCTCTGCAGATTGTCAACTTAATGGCTTTAAATGAATTCTTACTTAAACTCTTCCTTTGCTCTTTTATGAGTAGACAGAATTCCTTGGGCTCTGATTCTTCTGGCTAAGTGGTACCTAATTTGAAGTTCAAATTCATTGCCTTCTGGGACAAAGTATAGATTTAGCAGGTGATCACATTAGCCGTCAAGGTGGATGCTTCAGGGAGAGTGAACCATACTGTACTTATACTGCTTAAAGTTGGCCTGTATTACAATCTAAGACATTTAGTACGCTCTTACTACAGCTACTTGAGTAGCTCAATTCAGAATAGCTTCAAACCTGGCTTTGCTGTGTATGGTTCTCTACTGCCCCTGTGTGACCACGAAGCCAGCTGCTATCTGGAAATACCAGAGCTGCCAGAATCTTGGTAGGTCTTGATAGTTCTCAGGAATGGACTGCAGTCCTGTCAGAGTGCTCCAAAAATAGAAGTATCACTGTGCTGATCTCCTAATACAGAATAGCTTGGCTTGGATCACTGCATTCAGTGTGTGTTGTTGTTTCTAATTGTCTCTACCCTGCCTTAAAGGCTTGAGTTGGAGCTATCTCTACAGATCAGACTTCAAGGGTGGGTTAAATTGCTTAAACGGGCCATTAAGGCCCTGCTTGCTTTCTGGCTGCTGCACCAGAAGAGCACAGGTTTCTTGCAGGTCCTGTATGATGTCTGCCAGCCCTTAGATACACCCTAGGATACCTCGGATAGCACTGTGTCCCCGTGAGATAGGCAAACCTGTCCGAAGTGCTTCATATCACTTTGTGTTCAGCTGAGTGTACATATGTTTTTTCTTTCTTTTTCTTTTTTTAATTCCTTCAAAATTTGTTGCTTAAGAAAAATCCAATTTTTCATTCTGGTGACTACAGTTCACCTTTTGTAAAAGCTATTTGAGTTGTAAAGAAGTACCACTGCATCTCCCCTTTGCTTCTAGCATGTTCTATTGCACCCAAGCGATGCCTGCACAGAAGAAAACTCGAGTGGTTTTTATAGCCTTTTATTAGTGTGTAAGCACATCCATGGTGCATATAAAACTGTAACAGTTGACTTAATTTGAACAAATGATATTTTATTTTTCAGTAAGTGATTTAAAAAGGCACTTCCACCTTGTGAATGGTGCATCAGGGGTGTAGTAACCAGGAAAAAAAGCCCATATATTAATCAAATACTCAAGACAAAATGAAGGGTAGACAAGTTTAAGAAAAGCTGGCTAATGCCTTTTTTTCCTGCAGGAGTCTCACAAATTCTGTGTAAACTGCAGTTCACTGGGATTTAAGTTGAGCTAATAGAACTTGCTTTGTGGAAAATTCTCAAAGTGAATTATTCTGAATTAAAAAAAAACCTTTTCAGGTACTTTCCATGGTAAAATAAGTTTTGCGGTACTTTAAACTTTAATCTATACATTGGAGAGAAGGCAGTTGTGCTTTTATCATCATCACAGGAGTGGGTGTATGTGACCTTGACACTAAGAGTAGACTTATACAGTGCTAAATACCATCCTCCCTCCCCTTGCTGCAGTGCAATTTTTAAGCGTGTTGTTTATTCACTGGCTTTTGTTCCATTGAAATCTCCATCTCTTGCATCAACTTCTTCAGATCCTTCTGTTGCATTCTCAATTACTCTTCTGCCTCCAGATCGACGGGGTGGGGCAAAAGATGTAGGCTCATTTCCCCTCCTGCATTAAGAAAAAAATCAGGCTTTAGATCCTTTGTAGTCCTCACAACTAAGCATGGAGTTTTGTAACTAGCTGTGGGCCTGAGGTTTTCAAATGCAAAACGCCCAGGAGCTGTGGGGCCTTAGTACAACTCTGATCTCTAGCATACAAGACTAATCTGTGGACGCGTTGAACCTCACAGTCGCTTGGGAGCGTGATGGGATTTCCTGTTGCTCTGCTTAAGTTCTTTTCTAAGTAGTCTCATCTGCCCTAGACACCCTACTCTGCCCTTCCTTCATGTCACTGTGTTGCCTAATGGGGACTGCAACTGGTTATCCTGGGAAGGGGCTGCAAGGGTGGCTGCTTGTATCCTTGTCAGTAGGGAAGTATCCCTCCTGTCCTCTTAGAAGAGCAAGGAGAGGCAGAGAGCTTGTGTGGGGTAACAGCTCATCTGAATAAGCCCACCACTTACTGAAGGCCTGTGAGGCTGGGGCTGGAGGGGTGCTGCAGGAATGAGCAGGCATTTGGGGCCCATGCCCCTCTCTGGGAAGGCTGCCTTGCTTGGAGTACCACAGGTGCTGCGACATGTATTTAGCCTCGGCTGTGAGTAGCTCTAAGCTCTTCTGTAGCGGAGAGGGGAAGCCACTGGCCACTGTGTTTTGAAACTGTATCATAGCTCATGTGCTGACACTTAACAGAGCAAGTGCCTCGGAGAGAATGCTTTCTCCCCATCTTGTCCCCTTTTCCTCTCCCCTCCCCCCATATATTTCATAGCCACAGCCCAAGCCAGAGGTGCTTTTGTCCTCAGGTTAATTTTTTGGGGAGGTATGAACAAGTGAGACAGAAGATGAATTTCTCTCTTCTTGGCCACTGTTGCTACTGGGCTACA